CAGCCATGCTGGCTGGGGAATTCTGGGAGTTGAAGTCCACACATCTTCAAGTGGCCAAGGTGGAAAAACACTGCTTTAGGTTTAAACCTCACCTTTCAACCAGCTCCTGTGTAGAGAACATGAAGTTCTGACCACGATTAAAGATTCTGACCTTGTTGGCTTTGCAGGTGACGACTATCTGGGGAGAAAAGTGATTGCCTTCAGTTCCTGCCGCCTGCCTCCTTCTCATCAGATCAACCACCACCGGTTATTAGAGTAAGTCTAGTCTTTGCTTGTTCATCTTCCCTGCTTTATTCTAGTCCTCAACTTTGTTCGCCGAGGTGACCTCTCTCCTTCATTTTTATCCACCCGTCGGCGTCAGCTTCGAGGCTACCGGACGTCATAACGCATAAGACTGTACAGAACAGTTTACATCCAGTCTGCTTTGTGGTCTGCCAGCTTTTACATTTTTTAAAGTCATGGTAAAAAAAACCCCAATCCCTTCATTTTTGTTTACGGACAGTGTTCTGTATTGGATGGGGCTTTTTTACCCTGTGCCTGAAGGGATGTGTTAATGTCAGTTCCCACAAAAGCCATTTTTAATGTCAGTTTCTTTGATGTTCTTCATGGTTAGATGCGTTTCAGGCACGGTTGATGCACATCTTCTCAGAAGTTTCTCATATACGTATTGGTTTCGTGGAAGTTTTTGACTAGAGGAAGAGAAACTGGCAGAATCCAAATTGTTGGAGGAGAAATTATAAGAAATTGAGGGGCATTTTCCGGGGGAAGTCAGCATCTGCCGCCTTGCAGATTTTGACACTTCCCCATCCCATCCCACACAGAGGTCCTTGAATTGAGGTTTATTATGTTCTCAAGTCTGCCCTGAACTCTCCTGTGCTAAGACATTGGGATTTGGTTGAAAATTACCTGCACATGTGTGTGAAAATGCTAATTGTTCAGGATATGGATCAAGTACATTCCTTTTCTTTTCTAGATGAGTTGTTTTCTCCCATCACGAACCCAGAGCGCATGCATTAATACTATATATTTTTTCCTCCTCTTCCAAAATTCTCTTTCTAGATATTTGAAGTACACGCTGGACCAATATGTGGAAAGCGATTACACACTTGTCTACTTTCACTATGGACTCAATAGTCAAAACAAGCCATCTCTGAGCTGGTTGCAAAGTGCCTACAAAGAATTTGAGCGCAAGTAAGTTTTTGCAAACGGGGTGCCTCACTTGTAAAAGCACAGTTCAGCCAAACTGAAATATGTTAATGTCTAAACTGGATATTGAGCAGAGCTTTGTCCTTTCTGCCCACCAAGTTGCTGAGGTCTGCCTCTTGGGACCATCTCAACCTCCTTGCAGAGCAGAAGCCGAGAGACACTGGCTAGAACCCAGTTTCTACTAATCCTGGGAGTTGAAGTCCACACAGCTTCAAGTTGCCAGGATTGAGAAACACTGGTTTAAACAAAGAGGCAAGTTTATTAAGTAGCTTTTAGGATCCTGCCAATTCCTGCAGAGCCATAAAACGGGATGTGCCTAGAACAACTTCCCTCCCCAGCCCAAAATGGATGCGCGCTTCCCAAAGCTCAGGAAGGATGGAGGTACAGGGGGACCTAGTGGGGGCTACACCATCTAGCAACCCCTCTAAACTTTTAAAAATACTGCAATTGGTGGTGACTGCATGCCATCAAGTCATTGTCAACTCTTAGCAACCCCATAGGTGGACCTGTCCCCACCTGGTCCTTCCAGCCTTGCATCCTTCACCACTGTAAGTCCATTCACTTGGCTCCTCTTCTTCCTTTCCCTGTATTACAGCTTTTTCCAGAGATAAAAATAGGAAACAGCATTCACAGCAGACTGGAGACAGTGAACTTAAAGACAAGCTGATCTCTCTTGCTCAGCATCTCAACGTTGAACCTCATTCTGTTTTATTCCCCTCTGCCTCCCGCACGGTGGTGGAGTTCAAATGAACCTCGAAGGCTGTCGAGTGACCGTGTTCATTCAAGGCAGCCCGGTTGCTGATTTCCCCCACTTTGTGTGTTGACACAAGACACCGAATCCCTGATTGGCCAAATGGGGTGGATTTGCACACCTAAAGTAGTAGAAATGAATAAACTTTGCACCGTGGCCAGATTTGAAGCTGGGCGGGTTAAGAGCATTGGGTAAGATGGGGGAGAGCGGGCCTCTTGCTTTCTGCAAATAGAGGGAAGAAAACAGCAGCTGTAAGTCAAAATTCTGACTTCAACCACATTACAGCTACCCTGGGAAACAATTCCCAGTTATTCAGCAACTTACCTGCAGTAATCCTGACTGGAGTTGTTTAAACAAAAGTTGTTTAAAGGACAGAGGTTGGGAAACAGCAGAAACGTCCTAGAAAAACAACTGTACCTGCAAAAATTATTTCTGGGATAAATAGATGCAATTCTCTGGTTACTGGGTCCAAAATGCTGCTGCTGAGCAGGCAATGCAAACATCTCGCTGGTTTATAAAGATGGGTTTTAGGGACGGGGTGTGTGTGTGTGTCAATATTTCCAAGATGCAGGCATGTGGCCCCATCCGCTGTCTTGCAGGTTTTGACTCTCCTTGCAAAAGCTGCTGTTTGGGGACCAACTGCCAACCATTGTCCATCATCCTGGTCCATTTTTGCTTCCAGGTCCCTTTAGAAATGCAAAGCTCAAAGAACATCTGAAACATAAACATGAAATCCAATGGGGGTGTTTTTTTAGCTGGATTTCTAAAGATCTTCTCTGATTTTCCTCTTTTTTTTCTTTCTCCATTTCAAGCACCCTGCTCTTATCATTTCGAGAGATTTATTTTTCCCTCTGTCTTCATTATTCGCACCAAACAATTTAGATAGTGGTTTGTAATGTAATAGCTGTATAATCTTCGCCTACTTGAATTCCATCTAAAACTGACCGTTTCCTCTTTTTATTTTGCATTCAATTCCCTTTAAATTAGATGTACTTGGAAGGCAACTGTATAATATCCCAGTAATGAAAACTTTTACTTTTATTCACTTGCAGCTGCTTGCACCGCGGCATTCAGAAGCCCTCTAACCATTTAATTTTCTTCTTGGCAGATATAAGAAAAATCTGAAAGTGCTCTACGTCGTGCACCCCACCAACTTCATCAGGATAATCTGGAACGTTTTCAAACCTCTGATCAGGTACAAACTGGCTTCTTTTTAGCAGAAGGAGAGCTAATTTCTTTTTCTTTTACCATCCTTCGTGGAAGTCTAGAAACATCTGTATTACACTACACGCACGACTGAAATAGTTGGCGGAGTCAGTAATCTTTGCTGGTAGAGATGAGGGGCTCCTTGTGGTTTTCCTCCTAAGTTTCCAACTAAACCTGGTTTTGGACCACATGTTTTTTTTCTGTTTTGATTGCCTGAGCCTTGATAAATCACACCAAGTTCATTCGGCCTTTGCTTCCTTGGAATTATTCACGGGATCGTCCCCAGAAACCATTTGAGCCAAGGTAGCACCTGTTTTGCTGCAGTAGGGTGGCTGTAGAGCTCCGTGGAGGCCACTGAGATTCACCTGAAAAAGTGTTGTAATTATGGAGGAAGAGAAGATCAGGTGCCTTGTGCAATGAGTTGAGCAAGGAGATGGGTTTGCTGCGTTGTGTTGCCACTGTGAGGGCCGCAAAGGGAGCCGTTACTGCTGTTCTTCTGTGGCTTTTTCGGTGTCAGCCCTCAAGAATTCCCTTGGCTGGTTGTCCCACCAGGTGTCTTTCACCTCCACTGCAGAAGAGTAGGAAGGGCAGAGGAGCCCCCAAGATCTTCTCAGATTCTGCCCATAATCCAAGCCACTGTTGGTGGTCGATGTGTGCAGAGTGATAGGGCTGGAAGTCAAAGCCAGCCAGGCCTCCTCTCCTTACTTTTGAGTGAGTCCATGGGCATGAAGTGCCTCACATCCAGGGGTGCCCACAGGGTGTGGTTGAAAAAGTCAAGATGGCTCCCATAATGGTGTGACTGTGATCAAAGCTCAGACGCACTTAAAAACAGGCAGCGCTTTGATCACACTCTTGCAGCTGTCATTTTGACTTTTTTTTTTTTTATCATACCTTGAGGACACCCCTGCCAACTTCCTTTCTCATTGGGTAACTCAGATGTGAGTCAGATATAAACCTAAAAACCGGTGACTCCCTGGTCCAACTCCAGCACTTGGTCGCTGCTCTGCACTGGTAATTGTAGATGATCATAGAACTGGGGCAGTGGAAGGGGACCACAAGGATTATCTAGTCCAACTAATGCAACGTGCAAGAAAGCCAATTCAACTGTCTTTGAGAGGTGGTTGTCTCACCCTCTTCTTAATAACCTCCAGAGATGAAGAACCCACCAGCTCCATAGGTGAATTATTCCACTCGTGTATAGATCTTACTGTCAGGAAGTGTTTCTTATATTTAAAAGGAATCTTGGTAACAGCAACTTATTTCTAGTCCTAGTTTTGGTGGCCATTGGAAAGGAGTTCCTGACCATCTTCCCCATGACATCCTCTTACCTACCTGAAGACTGACATCATTTCTCCTCTCCATCTTCTTTTCTCCACGCTGAACTTCCCAAGTTCCTTCAGCCAGCCCTCAAAGGGCACGTGCTCAAATCTCTGTATCATCTTTGGATCACCCTCTGAAGCTCTGCTAACTTGTCCATCTCTGCCTGGATATGCATGTGAGATCATGAGATTTCCTAGGCATTAATGTTTGGCAGAACATGAGAGCACTCCTAAGAGGAACAACAAATTACCTGCATTGTAGAACTGTTTATTAATGACACTTAGTAAGATCTCTAAGGACCAGCCCGTTTTGGAGGTAGGGAGAGCTAATTGGCTAGAAATATGTATTGGAAGGCCTACATAGGATTATATACACTGAAAATCAAAGATATGAATTCTACAAAAGTGCTTCTTTCTAGGATAAACCTTCTCTTTGGGTCAATGAATTTCCTCTTGTTAAGAATGAATTTTATTTAATTCAGGCTACCTTCCAGTAGAGGGTGCTTGAATATACAAGTTTTCTATACTATTCTGAATAATTATGAAAGGCTTTTCTTCCTGATAGGCATTTTGAAGAATAATTTCCAGAAAAGTCAATAATGTTTAAAGTCCATTTTAATTCCAATTTATGGCTTTTTGGATATGCTTGATATTGTAGGGCAAAGTGTCTGTGTTTTTGTATTGATTTAAATGGTTACTTTGGCTAGTAAAATCAATAAGATTGGGTTGGAAATGGGCACATTAATTTGAAATAAGTAGAAGCTTTGTTTGCATACTCTTGACTAAATATTTGGGCTTACCTACTTATTCCCTTGCTTTTATTTCTGAAACCCAAAAAAGAAGGGAGGAAGGAAGACGTATTTTCGAAGCACATTAGTCTGAACACTGTCTGTGGCTTTTTTAAACAAAATGCTCTATGCTTCCAGTTATCTGCTTTTTTATCAGTCCCATTTTTCGTTCCTTTTCCCCCTTCCTTTGTGGATTTGCAGAAAGGAATGCGTCCCGGCACTTTGATCTGCAGAGAAGTTTGATGTTGTGGTACATTACAGTATTACTAAGGAAGAGGAGAGAAACTTTAACATTTTCTCAAAAGAAGAGAAGGAGGTTTCTTTGACACCCTCCAGTTTCTTTGATTCTTTGGCTCTAAAGTGGAGTCCGTGGTTTTAACACATCTTTTGAAAGAAGAGATGGAGTTATGCGCAAAGTTGTGTGACAGGTTATGCAAGGCGATTGGGGTCTTACTCTGTTGCTCCAGGTCTTGCTGGAGGTACCATGTTGAATGGCACCATGAATTGCACTTTCCCCGTGTTCCCTTTGCATGTGAAAACGGGGCAGGGCTTTGACTGAGCAGACCTTGGGTGCCATTTTGATTTTTGGATCCACGTGTCCCTTCCCCATGGAGGCCCCTGGGCCCAGTTGGGGCAGCACTGTCAACTGAGAATCTTCTAACAAAACATGCACTTTCCTACATTTTTAAGGTGAAGTTTTTGTCGAGTGGAGTCCCTGGGGTTCTCTGAGCTTGGTTCTTTTCTTGCAAACGTTTCATTACCTGGCT